CCCGGCCCCGTCACCCCCGACCCTCCCGGCCCCGTCACCCCCGGCCCGCCCGGCCCCGGCTCCTCCTGAACTTCAGTGCCAGGTAACGCTTTCGAGGGAGGTGGGAAACCTCTGAAAACTCCATTTAGGAAGGACCACAGTTAGCACAGCTTAGTACAGTTTGCTTAGACCAGACCTCTTAGCTGGACTGTTTGCTTTGGGGAAGGGGGATTTAGCTCTTAGCAGTGCTAAGACAGTCATTATTTATTCCTTATCTTTTTTCACAGCCAGAGTTTGCTGTCTGTTCAGAATGCCTGGCTCTTTCTGACACTGGAAATTCACTGAAAGTCGTTCATATGACGGATGAAAATCAGCACCTCTTACTTCCACTTTATATTTTTATCACAGAATCACAGAATGGTTTGGGTTGGAAGGAACCTTAAAGCTCATCTCATTCCACCCCCCTGCCTTGGGCAGGGACACCTTCCACCAGCCCAGGTTGCTCCAAGCCCCGTCCAACCTGGTCTAGAACACTTGCAGGATCAGACACTGCCTCCTAAATTAGCGTGGTCATAGGCCACGGGCATGAACATCTGCATGTTGGAATTTTAGAGCTGACATTTGGTATTGTTAATTATGGTGCTGTTATGGATAACTTGTGTCTGCAAGCACTGCATGAGTCATGGAGCATCTGCTTCTCGGCACTGAGCAGTCCAGTGGAACTTGGCAGCAACTTCAGTGCCACAGCAAGGGCTGCAGAGGTGTGAAAGTGCCAGGAAAAAGCAGACTGAGCCCACAAAAATGGGGGTCACAGGGGTTGTTAGAAACTCAAACTGACACTGTAGGAGGGTGCAGAAGACTGGCTGTTCTGTACCTCTGGGTGCAGTTTTATTACTCTTCCTACACCACATTTTATAATTTTCATAAATGTGTAAGGCTAAATAATTTGAATGACTCACTTTTTCAAACAAATCTTGTGCTACAGCAGAGATTGAGAGTCAATAGCAATTGAATTCAGAGGTTGAGGGGTCTTTGTTATAAAATGTGCCTTTGTTATAGAAAGAATTATCCTGGTACATCAAACTGAGATGAGGAGACAAAGACAAAAGGCAGTGTTTGATGCCAGGGGATAGAATTACAGAAATACAGGAAATGAGCAGTATTTTTGGAAAGTGATAGATGATCCCAGTGTTGTGTAGACATGAGCTGAGAGAAAGCGCAGTGAGGGTCAGGGAGGATTAACAGCTTTTACTACTTCTTTGTTCCTTACAGCAGAGTTTTAAAAGGTTTTTGGTTTTATACTGCTGAAGGATGTGAAGCTGGATCCTAGGGAGGAGGTATTTTCTTCCTTTTCTTTCCAGAATCTGTGGCTTTAAGTATTTCCAACTGCTACAGTTTGTCCTTTCCATTGGCTCCCTTCTCTCCTTCCATCTGCAACTTCTCCATGGACTGTTTTTGTTTTGCAGATGCTGCTGGTGGTGCACTCTGCAGTCAGCAGACCTTTTCCTGTGATTTCACATGCACCAGTTGTCTTGGGTCAGAATCAGAGAATCACAGAATCCCAGACTGGTTTGCTCAAAGCTCATCTCGTTGCACCCCCTGCCATGGACAGGGTCACCTCCCACCAGCCCAGGTGGCTCCAAGCCCCGTCCAACCTGGCCTTGGACACTTCCAGGGATGGGGCAGCCACAGGCTGAGCTGTGGTTAGTTCTGGATGTTCATCACGTTGAACCCTCGGAGGGGTTTATCATACAGGTCCTACTCGAGGTGCTGCTGCAGCTCCTCCTTGGGAGACACCTCGTGTAGAGACTCAACAGTGTGGCCTCAGGGGTGCTCTCCACCTAAACCAGAAATAGTTTGAGTCTTGGTAAGAAAGAAGGCACCAGGAGCACAAACCCTGCTGAGCTGTGTGAGGAATAAGGGAATTTCGTCAAGGAGCAGTTTGAGATGGTACACGTGGAGGTGGGAGGAAAGCTCCCAGCCCTCTCTGCCTGTGACAAATTTGCTGGTGGTGTTATTCTCCTGCTCTCTGTGAGTTCCAGAGAGCAAGTTCCTTGATTAAAGCACTGTGTGAGTCAAGCCTGAAGCATTAACACCTGACTCAGCAACTTGTTGTGCCAGTCAGGGGGTTCCAGGAGGGGTGATGGTGCTGCAAAGTGCTGAGTCAGAGGTTGGATTTTAGAAGAGCTCTTGGAGA